GGAAAAGGAAAAAAAAAAAAGTACATGGCTGAGGATATGGCTCAAAAGAGAGTATATGATTTACACTGCTGCTTGTTGACTTTAACTACCAGTAGTTCTTCCACAGTGAAGTCCACTCCCAACCCCTGCTTTTTTTTGGTGCTGGGAATTGAACCCAGGGCCTTGTGCATGCGAGACACTCACTCACCAACTGAACTGTATATCCCCAGTCCAACCCCCTGCTTTTCTATATTGTCATACATATGGTGTTTTCAGAATTATTAACCTGTACCCCCTTAAGAAACTTTACCTAGGTCCTCAGTCTGCAGTCATTTACAAAGGTTAGCACCTTTACTGCCCACTGGTCTGTACCATTCTATTTCCTCTCGACAAGCTTTAAGCTTTGGAGATGTCCCATATTTGCCAACCTCTCTCAAACAACTGACAAATATGGAAATACTGTCTCACATTCCCTGATGGTATTACTCAGCTAAATTTAGTCAGGGAATGTTCTCCCAGTTTAATATAGTCCTTGTCTCTGAAGGCAGCCCTTGGTGTCTTGGAGAGTAGGGAGACAGAGTAGATGAATTAAGGAAGCTTGGAAGAACTACATGCTTTATATAAACACTGGTAGTCCAGTACTACTTATATCTTCCTTGGCTTTCTACTTTCTTTTCAATTTCTTAAAACAAAAATGAAAACACTAGGCCAGGCACAGTGGCACATGCCTATAATCCCAGTGGCTCAGGAGGCTCAGGCAGGAGGATCACGAGTTCAAAGTCAGCCTCAGCAAAAGTGAGGCACTAAGCAACTCAGTGAGTACCTGACTTTAAATAAAATACAAAATAGGGCTTGGGGATGTGGCTCAGTGGTCGAGAGCCCCTGAGTTCAATCCCTCGTACCTCTAAAAAAAAAAAAAAAAAAAAAACAAAAACTGTCATTTCCTCTAGATTTCTGTTGTGGTAGTCAGTTGTGGATAAATTCAAAAGAAGTGACAGACATGAACTCCAGAGGTAAAGGGAGAACCATACATTCCTTCTTGGGATCCTCTTGGTAGTGGCTTGACTGCTTTGGTGACCAGTGCTGTTGTTTTAGGTTGGAATCCAGAGAACACTGATGCTCACGGTTCTGGGAATGAATACATTCCACGTACACAGGAGTCTCTCTTCCTTCTTCCAAGTACCTCCTTCTCCATCAAGTTTATTTATCCTTGTATGCAATGAAATATTCCTTTAATTTAAGACTCCTTCCTCTTACCAGCTCTTCAATGACATCAAGAACACACCCCTTTTCAGTCTTTTTACAGGAGAGGATACTGATGGTTGTTTCCATTTGCTAAGGATCTGTTCTTGGAAGGACACTTTATTTGCTGGTAATATACGCCCCCAAAATCAGACCTACTTTGTTACATGCTCCAGATCTTGGCTCCAAGTTAGTAAAATGATTCACTTAAATCAGGGTTACACACGGTGGATATGCACAATAAATTTGAGGTGTTGATGCCATTCAAAAGCATAGGTGCCTTTATGTCTACGTACCTTACATTTTCAGTCATCGATCTTTAATCATTCCTTCCAAATATGTACATAGAAATTGCAAATTCTTTTTTAGTAATCTTGCTGGGAATAGTCCCAATGGGTGATTTGTGTTTCATGTAACTAAAATTTCTTGGCTTAACCAATACATTTAACAGATAATTTGTGGATAAATTCCAAAGAAGTGACAGACATGAGCTCCAGAAGTAAAGGGAGAACCATACATTCCCTTCTTGGGATCCTCTTGGTAGTGGCTTGACTACTTTGGTGAGACAACTTAGATAAGTTGTCTCTCTTTGGGGAGACAACTTAGATCTTAGATAAGTTAGGGTACAGTTAGCTGACCTGCACATATGGGAGAAAGATGGTAGTTCTACTTCCTCTAGATAATGCCATGCAGGAACACAAATAAGATTCTTTCAAATCTATAAGGCTCACAGGAAATATACTGTGAGGCCCTGAGCCATTAACGACAGGGTTCAGCTTTCAAAGCCATAGCTATAGAGAGGACATTTTTGACATTAACTAGAATACGCATTCCACATGCTATTTATTCAGTAGCTAGCAGGGCCAAATGAAGCATTCCACATTTTTCAATCCAGGATGCAACTTCTTGTGAAAAAAGCCGAATTCCTTAAACAGAGCAAAGTCAACTGGTTGTTCAGCAATGTACAGTTGGACTAGGCTTAAAGGTTTTATTGTTTAACCAAAACATGAGAGGGATGGCTAGGGAACTGTGCTGATCCCCAGGATTTGATAACCTCACTCCACTCTTTCACATTCACGTTTTTTGCTCTCCTAATAACATCTCTTTAGAGAGTAAGACCCTGAATACCATGGATTCAAGTAATGCTGGAAGGCCTGTTTCACTGATTGTAAATATCACTCTGTAGCTTGAGGGGTCAAGCCCGGGAGTGAAAAAGTTAAAAGTGACACAGTGAAGGAAAAGGCAGAGAAATGTCAGTCCCAACAATACTGCCAGATGTTATCAATGAGAGCCAGTTCAGTAGTCAGGGATATTAGCTCAAAGCCTAATTACCATAACATAATGTTTAATTCCACTTACATAAAACTCAAGAAAATAAACTATAGTAGCAGAAAGCAGATTGCTAGGGTGGGAGAGAACAGGAGAAAGCCATCACCTAGGGACTCTCGGGAAAATTGGTAGGTAAAGAATATGTGAACCATTGGGGGAGTGGGTACTGGGATAGAATCCAGGTGCTCTAAGACTGAGCTACATTTCCAGCCTTTTTATTTTTTAATTTTGGGAAGGGTCTTGCTAGGTTGCCTAGGCTGGCCTGGAACTTTTGATCCTCCTGCCTCAGCCTATTGAGTCACTGGAATTATAGGCGTGTACCACCATGCCTGATCCTATATGCTATCTTGACTGTGGCAATGGTATCATAGGTATATCATGTCAAAGCTTATTAAACTGTATACATTCTGTACAGTTTAGCCAGGCACAGTGGCACACACCTACAACCCTAGAGACTCCGGAAGTTAAAGCACAAGGACCACAAGACAAGGTTAGCTTCAGCAACTTAGTGAGACCCCATCTCAAAAAAAAAAAAAAAAAAAAAAAAACAGTTGGGAATGTAGCTCAATGCAAAATGTCCCTGGGTTCAATCCACAGTAGCTTTGCCCCCCAAAGGTGCAGTTTATTGTCAATTATAGTTCAATAAAACCACATATATGTATACACTTAAAGCCTTATCATTAACAAAAATATATAGCTATATGTGTGTGTGTATATATATATATATGTATGTACACATATATACATAAGTAAAAGACCAGCAGCTCTGTAGTTAAGAACAATCTAACTTAGGGGACCATGGAGGAGAAAAGCAAGCTTGCTTCTAGTTTACCATGAAGGAATGGCTTCCTTTTTTACCTTACTGAAGTGACATGAAAGGTGTGAAAAGCAGCATGAGGAGCTTTAGGGTGAACTAGAAGAATAAAGCCTGCAGAAAGCCACTTCCCTGCAGAGTCTATGGTACAGGGCAAGGGCTTGACCTTTCAACTCCATACCCAGCTGTCTATGAGGTACCAACTAAAGTTGCTTACTTAGCTGCTCTGACCAAATCATTTCAGAATTGGGAGGTAGTAAATGGAAGTAAAAACAAAGAAACACTGATTACATTTTAAAAATTTATTGTCTTTTTTTTTTTTTTTTGCAGTTGTTTTGTTGCTGTTCATTTGTTCTTGAGATGGCTACAACACCAGACAGAACAGTGCCCTCAAATCTAATGGCTGTGCAGGGCTGCACTCCTTTTAAACATTAAGATCTGTTTGGGCTCCCCACTTTGGCCCTTATCCCCACAAGAAGTCAGTTAGTTTCCACGCTTTTTAGTAAAATACAATTAGCCCTGTAAACACTTCTGCTTCTCCCACCCTATTTTTTTTCCTCATGTCTGTGGGTGAATAGTTTGCTAAGGAAAAAAAAAAAAAAAAGAAAGAAAAACTAAACAAAATACACATTTATATCCTATCCCCCCCACCTCAATACCTCAATGTGGCTCTTCCTCCTCAAAGGCTGGATTCAGAGATTGAATAGGGTCAGGGTTGGGTTATACATAAATATGAATTTTGACCCTGGCTGGTCCTGAGTATCACTGACATGACCATGACATATAGAAGAATAGGCTTCTTGTCATAACAACTCAAGGCAGGAAGAACAGTTGGGGGAGGAATATTTCTATTCACGTGTGTTAAAGTTGGGAAGTGGAGGGGGAGTAGGAGAGGGAAAGAAGGTGAAACAATAGAAAATTCTCAGAGATGACCCTGACCCTTTACTTCCAACTGTAGCTATTTAAAATTCATTTGATTTCCCACATTTTCCCTAAGTGAATATTTTTGTTTCACATCAAGTCCTCACTTTTGTTTTTCTATGTGTACTGCACTTAGCGTGTTGTATCTGTGTATACCATTTGCTTATCAGGCGAATGTTTCAGTACTGGTTTCAGTTTAGCTTTCCTTTTTATTTCCTTGAAATTGTTTTTCCTTTTAGAAACAAGTTCACCAGGAAACCAGCTCCCCTCCCACCACGCCGGACAGGCTGCAGCCATCTTTTTTAAACCGCGCTGATTTTCCCTCACACCCCCAAACAGGAACTCCTCAGGACGCCTGGGAAGGCTGGAGTCTCTCCCTGTCTGGGTTGGACACCCTGGGGGCAGTGAAGGCCCCTCTGCCGCGTCGGAGGTTTCTGATTGTGGGACACAGTCTGGGTTTTGTTTTCTTCCTGTCTTCTAATTAAAAAAGACATTCCTGACAAGAAGAAAGAAGACAGTCAATAACTGTGCCCAAGAAGCTAGTGAGCATTTTATAAAAGAAATCTCAAGGCAGAGGTTTCTATAATTGCTCAGGCATCACATTCTGTATTCTGTCATGATACCTGTTAAGGAAAAAAGCAGCAACAACAATACAAAGCAGCAACAACAATAAAAAGTTAAATTTTTAAAAATCTATGATCTTAAGGGAACTTACTTTAATGAAATGCTGCTTGAGTGCATCTCCAATGCTGACTGGACTGTGGAAACAGGGATGTGTGGGTGGCATCAGGAAAAAGCCAAATGACGGGCCCAGGCCTTCCATTTCAAACCAACCAAAAAAGCTCCACTTTATTAAATAAAGACGTTTCATTACGATTTACTTTCTAAGAAGGCTTTGCCTATTAACAAAAGCTTTTAAACCACTGATTTAGACTCTATGGAAGGAGTATGTATAGTGTATTCGGATGTCATTTTTACTTGAATAACAAGTAGTTATTATAGAGGTGTTAAATGAAATTGTTAAAAAGTGAGGACACCGACACCAGAATGTCAACACTTGAATTACGGCTCCATCAGTTACTAACTGACACAATTAGGCAAACTGTTAAACATCTCTGAACTTGAGATCCTCATATGTAAAATGAGAATAGTAGTAACTAACCTAGAGGATTGAATGAGGATTTCTTAGTTAATACATAAAGATATAATACATAATATATAAAGAATGCATAGTAGTATGAGATACCTAGAAAGTGCTCAATAAATGCAGCTATGAACATCTATAGCTGTCCATGAACAACACTTTGAGGTGCATCACTGTTATTAGAAACACATGTAAAACTCAATGATCCCAGATTATATTACTCATTAAAAAAAACAAAGTTTAAAATAAATTTTGATGTGGCAAGTCACTGCTGAATGTCACTTTGAGTTATTAATGCATTTACCACAAAAACTACAGATCAGGGCCCCAGATTCAGAGAGAATTGCCTTCTAGGAGAATAAACTCTCCTTAATATGTCAAAGGGGCTTAATATGTCAAAGGGTGCCCATTGTGGTGACACACCCCTGTAATCCCAGTGGCTTGGGAGGCTTAGACAGGAGAATCATGAGTTCAAAACCAGTCTAAGCACTAGCACTTACTGTGAGGCACTAAGCAACTCAGTGAGACCCTGTCTCTAAATAAAATATGAAATAGGTCTGGGGATGTGGCTCAGTAGTTGAGTACCCCTGATTTCAATCCTCAGTACCAAAAAAACAAAGAAACAAAAAACCTAGCACCCAAATTCTACTACCAAGATTTTCCTCAGCTAAGCTTTTTGCTTTGCTTTGTAATAAGCAGACAGGAAACAGGAGGAGAAAAACAATGGCCAAAGCGGCTACTTCTTTCCTGTACCACCCGCTGGTCAAGGCACAGCATTTCAGTATTAAAAAAAACAAAAGGCAGTAAGAACAAGCTCCATGCTCATCATATCTGGAAGGTCAGTCCTAGGAGGATGGTGTCATGTTATCAAAGTCAACTTCTGGCCAGCACTGTTTCCATCAGTAGCCAGGTTAAAGGTAAAGATACTTATTTGTTACCATACTCATTATAGTAGTTATTTTGTTATTCAAGTAAAAATGACATCCGAATACACTAGAATTATATGGCTGCCATAGCTCAAAAAATGAGGGCCCTGTATTCCCCAGTTGTGTGGCACAGTTAAACTCTTTAAGTCTTTTTCTTAGTCTAGCTACATGACTGGTCCCATGATGGGCATTAAACTTCTCCCCATCCCCAAACCTCCTGAAAGCTCAGGAAAAGGTGGAAGCACATACTACTCACCTGGGTGACAGGCACAGTGCAGGAGTGTGAGCTATCGAAACAATCTGGTGAAGTCTCGCAAGGCCCAGCAAACTTGCTTACATTCCTCAGCACTAGAAGAGAAAAGGCAGGTGGTCCTTGACTGAGGAGAGAGACATATTCTATAAAGAACTAACCATGACACTGAGGCACACTGAGGATGGTCCCAACTCTTTGAGGAGTGTCCACTGTCTCTTGATTCTGCTTCAGATCTTTTTGTAATCCAAGGTAAAAACAGACTATTATAAATGAGAACAATGATAAACTTGGCGGTCCTTGAAGAGCAGACTTTGGAGACAAATTGCCTGAGGTTGAATCTTGGCCATGCTGTATCCTTGGGCGAGTTACCAATCTTTGCCTCAGTCTCCTCATCTGTTATCTACCTCATGCTGTCCAGAGAATTCGATTTGTTCATATAGGTAAAATGCTTATTTTAACAGCATGGTGAAGAAAGCAGCATTCAAAAAACACCAGCTGCCACATCAACACTTTGCTGAAGTCCCTGACACATATACAAGAAATTTAGAACCCCCAAAATAAAACAGCAAGCATGTTCACTTAAGGCTCTGGTCACTGAACTTTGAACCACACTACAACAGAGTTAGATACCCTGATTTATTCATTCTCTCCCAAAGGCAGATTATTTTTACAAAGACCAGTCCAGCAACTAAGTCTCTATCAGTTATAGATTTTCTAATTAACAGGCCACTCAGAGTCTCTTCCTATGGGGGGAGGAGGAGGGAAGAGGAAGGAGTTTAAGGTGTGTAGAAAGGGAGAAAGAGGGAGCAGAACTTGGTCTTCAGGCAAACACTGGAGGACAAACAGTAAGAAGAGTCCAATATTCACCTGCTTTTTTTCAAAAGGTTCCCTTTATCCAAAGCAGTCACCAGGAAACCCACTGATGCCAGCTTTATTCTTTTGTGTCATGTCTTCATAAGTTTTTGCTAACTGAATCTCGGGCTAAGTTAAAACAGTGAAAAAGGCAGCACTTTCTAACATGCCTACCCTTCTGTGGAGCGCTTTCCCTTCTGAAAACTCAGGAATCAGGGTCTATGCCTAGGATTCAATTCTCTCTTATAATGGCTGAACACCAGAGGAAGGAACTGCTAACAGTAACCCAACAGAGAAGAAGATGAAATCTGAGTAATTTCTTTGAGTATCTACATCTAGATTTTCCTACCCATTGTAAGGTTGGTCTGAAACATTAACCCATTCAGTCCCAAGTTTTCAATTCTATATAGAACAGTGGGACATAATGAATTAAGAACCTTGATTTAGACATGATCCAACATAATATTCTAGAGACTTTCCTGTAGTCTCTCTCCATCCTAAGAATGTAATGAAAATGAGAAAGGTCTTCTGGTTTTATTGGCAATCTGCCACTTCCTTTTTGTGGGTTTAATAAAGTTCAATAAAAACATTGTACTTCCCAGTCTATGTCATTCATGCTCCCAATGTCAGGAGAGAGGAAGACCCAAGTGAGGCTGCTGTGTGATGTGCTATGACGAGGGCTAAGGCAATAAGAAACCCTGACAGCTGAAGACTCAGGATTCTTTAACTGTCCTGATGTCCTACATGTTTAAGAAATTTAATCCCTTTCAACCCAAGATCTTGGTTTAATCTCAAAGAGAAATAACTCCATCATTCGCTTTTTTTTTTTTTAAACCAGGGATTGAACCCAGAGGTGCTTAACCACTGAGCCATACTCCACCCAAGTCCTTATATTTTATTTTGAGAGTCTCATTAAATTGCTGAGGCTGGCCTTGAACTTGTGATCCTCCTGCTTCAGTTGCTGGGATTACAGGTATGTGTCATCATGCCCGGCTTCTTGTTAGCCTCTTTTGTGGTACATGAGAAAGGGTATTGAAACCAAAAATACAAGTACAGGAGAACTGTGATAAACAAAGCAAAATGAGGGGTGAGTCACAGTGTTTTAAATCGGCTCCATTTCTGCTCCTGACCCTATCAATGATTGTATGGGTGTCAAGAGCTTTAGCCAAATGTTGAACTTACAGAGCCCTTGGTGAATAAACCCACAGAAATGGATCAAAATTCTCCTGGAATGCTAGCACTATTTTTTGGTTCCTGCCTCAGTCCTTCTGACATTTGTTAGTTCATGGTTTCTAATCATATTTATTTTTTGAACTGCCTTTATTTTTCTAGGTTCTGTTTTTTGCTAGTCCACAATTCCAATCATTCTACCATACTTCTGAATACTTTCATAGTCACTATTTCTTAAGCCTCGTCACTCTAGGGGTGTACTGAGAAATGCAACCCTTTTGATCTGATGCCCTGGTATGGAGAATAACCAAGCTCTCACTGATGACCTGACCAGGGAGACACCTCCTACTGGCCTCTAGTTCCAATGTCAATTCTTTCCATGTTCAACATCTTTTAGCTTAAAGACCTATATGTAAATGGTACTGTCACAATAAGATAAAGAAAGGAAAATGATGGCATGATTTTTTCTGTTCCAATTACTCTTTGACAGAGATAGGGTCATCTGGTGTTTGGAAAGCAAGAACGATATTCTAGAATGAAAGGTCCCAGCTTTCTTCACATTGACCAACTTAAAATGCCAGGGAAGTAATTGCCAGTACCATTTGAAAAGCAGGCTTGGACTTGCTGAAATGAAACTGAACCAGTTCACCCTCCCTGTTAAGATGGCAAACAAAGCAGCATGTTGAGGAAGGACTTACAGGACCTTAAAACCAAAAGGGAGACCGAGTCATGCAGAGGTTCAAGGGCAACAGGCATACCAGAGAAAGAGAGGACGTGAGCCATTTCAAACCCTCTTTCTTATACCTTAACATTACCTCTTACTTCTGTTCATTTCCCACCATTATGTCACAGTCTACTACAGCAGGAGCTGTAAAACTTGTTTTACAATGAAAGATCAGGTAGACAACCTAGGTAGTGTACTTTATTTTCCCATATCACAGGACCAAGATTACAGATATTTTTTTGTTTACAGTCTTGTTTTAGGTACTTTTCCTTGCCCCTTTCCTTAAACAAGGGAATAATATCCACGACCTTGATTTCCAACTTAAACTATTGCTCTATCTGTCATATACTAACCCTGTCAAGAGAATTTGGGTTTGGTGGAGACTTATTCCATAATGTGTGGGTGGCTGCCTTAGAGCTGGCAAGAGACACGCCTCAGCTAGTCTTGCAAGTATACAACGGCATTTTGGCAGATTCTTTTTTAAGAAGAAAGGAGTTAAAAGTCACTAATCACCTACTATGTGCAAGCTCTTCTTTAGATTTCCATTTGCTATTTCACAATAACCTTATGTGCTAGGTAGTACTAACCCTGTACTACAGAATTAACTAAAGTTTCAAGTAACAGGGTAGTGAGGCAAGATTCAAAATAACGTATTTGACTCTTCAGCTCAATCCTTTGAGGCTTTTCCCTCCTAGGCTCTCATTTGCTTAGAAATTAGAGCCAATATGATTGTGCCCTTCTACTGACCAGCACTACATGGAATAAAGCAAAACAGAAGCAGAGAGAAGCATCTGTTATACTACTTTCATCTGCAACAGCTTATAGGTAGAGTATTACTTTAACTGGGAAGACTCATAGTTAAAAAAGAAACCAAATAATTGTGTAAGGTCATCCCAGTCAATATATGTCTACCTGGTGGAGGGAAAATCCCCACTCTAGCAAAATGTGTCACAAAGGTTGTCATGTTATTTTTCAGTCATGCATGTCACTTGATCTATAGTTAAATATCACTCACTTCTAGGGCATGAAGTTAAGCCACTTAATAAGCTACAAATAATAATAATGTTAAAATCCCAAAGCTACTCCATGGTTTGGGATTTTAACATTAACAAAAATTTGGGGTATACAAAAGGAAAAAAAAGGAAATTGTTTTTAAAATGACATTAAGAAATCAATTCTCAGGCTGCGGTTGTGGCTCAGCAATAGAGTGCTTGCCTAGCAATGCGGCGCCCTGGGTTCGATCCTCGGCAACACATGAAAATAAATCAGTAAAAGGTATTGTGTACAACCACAATGAAAAAATAAAAAAATATTTAAAAAGAAAGAAATAAATTCTCAGACCAAGGGTGTAGCTCAGTGGCTACACCCTTGCTTAGCATGTATGTATAAGGCCCTGGGTTCAATACCTAGCACCTAGCACCACACACACACACACACAAAAAAAAAAAAACAAAAAAAAAAAAACACCTCCCTCCCCTTCCATCCTGGTCCTATGTATAATTTTCCAGAAATTTACTATACATGAGGTAGCATATATATACAAACACATATACATACAGACATATAGTACAATAAAAAACTACAAAAAAATTGATGAAAGACATTAGCCAGGCATTACACACTTGTAATCCCAACAACTCAGGAGGCTTAAGCAAGAGGCTCACAAGTTTCAGACCAGCCTCAGCAATTTGGCAAGATCCAGTCTCAAAATAAATATATAAATAGGACTGAGGGGTATAGCCAGTGATAAATCACCCTGGGTTCAATCCCTAGTAAGAAATAAATAGATAGATAGATAGATAGTCAGTCAGTCAGTCAGTCTGGGGACACTAGAGATCAACATGAAAAAGGAAAAAAACTGGGTCACTACCAAACATCACATACAAAAACTAAGTCATAACAAGACCTAAAGTTATAACTCTTAGCACAAAATCTAGGGGGAAAACTTCATGACATTTTATTTGTCAATGACTCTTGGATATGACAACAAAAGTACAGGCATAGTGGTGCACACCTGTAATCCCAGTGGCTTGGAAGGCTGAGGCAGGAAGATCACCAGTTCAAAGCCAGCCTCAGCAAAAAACTAGATGCTAATAAGCAACTCAGACCCTGTCTCTAAACAAAATACAAAATAGGGCTAGGAATGTGGCTCAGTGGTTGAATGCCCGAGTTCAATCCCCAGCACCTGATCCCCCAAACTTAAAACTTCTGTGCATCAAAGGACACAATCAGCAAGATGCAAAGGCAGACTATAGAATGGGAGAAAATGTTGTATGCAAATCTGATATACCTGATAAGGAGTTAATGTCCCAAATATATATAAGGAACTTCTTCTACAATCTAATGACA